ACAATTTAGGAAAAAAAGTACCGTAGAATTAAATAAAATTTTGCAACCTCAAAATACCGTTCTGCTTACAGTAAACACAGTCGGTAGTCTGGCGCTCCGTTGACAACGGATTTGAACGGAACTTGGCGCCAGATTCTACCGAATCTGTGGATTTCTTGAGTTAACTTCTGTAAATCGCCGACAGGTGGCGCATGCGAATGACAGCTTCTCGCAAGCAGATTTAGTGCTCAGAGTTATTAAAACCCAATCGGAGAATAAATTTATCGGGTTTATCATACTTAAAATTCTTGCTCGATATTTATTAATAACTGTAAATAATCTTATAATAATATTTTTTTTACGAAAATTTTCTTTTCATAAATTAATCTTAGCATGATGCTATATTGTTTCAAGTATTTATTTGTTACTCAGTCTCGAATTTCTGACTTACAGTATATGATACTAGAAACAGAATTATTGTAATTGAAAAAAATTGTAGAATTTTTATTACATTTTCTTCTCCATGGCCATTATTCTTATACTTCAAATTCCGATAGACTATTTGAGATAAATTGGAGATTTTTGAAATAATAGTTGTTTTGCTCATTGAATTCATACTTAGAAAATCAGAGATAAACTACTGTTTTTTATTTTAACTAAAATAACGTTTTGACATTGTTATATAAACACCGCAATTATTAATTATTCAGATTTTTAAGAAAGTGAATAATTCATTTCGAATGAAATGTGTTGTTATCTGGGCCTCTGCTTTATGCACAAAATTCTGAAATCGGTGATTTATCTGATTCAATTTATCAGTGCAGCAATATAGGGCTGGTTAAAATTTGTTTTTGGTTTTCACATATGACAATAATCTTCCATAATTATGATATATTGAATAAAATAAATGCAAAACTTTCATTTTTTGTTGAAAAGATTTTTAGATTTTAAAAAACTAAAAACAATAGCCTTAATTATCTTAAACCGAAGTCCAAAACAAATTTTTCTACCATCTTAATGTAGCTATGGTACAATATTGTTAAAAAATTAGAGATTAAACGCGCCGCAAAAGTATATGAGCTTGTAACTAAGTAATCCATAATTTTTACGCAAGACTGACCCCGTGGAGACGCAAACCATACAATTGTATCCGTCTGACTCCATAGATATATACTTTTTTATAAATTGTTGAACTTTAATCCGTTATTTATAAATAATTATTCGGTCAAAAATTTTTTTTCAAACTCACAACAAATACATTAAAAGACTGTCAGTTTTTCGAAAATTTCTGACAGTCAGTTTTTTTTTATAACTAAGAAACGGACACAGAACTGCAGAGAGCGTATGCAATCAATGTTAAACATCCAATTTTTAATTGAATTCATCTCGGGTTATAGGTAGTCAATCGACTTCAAATTGTAAGGGTGATTATATCATCATGTCCTTAATGAGTATACAAAAATTTTGAATTTTCTGACGATATGCCTTAACCACGACAACTACCTTAAAATAATA